AAGTTTTCTTGAACTCCTCCACTTGAACGTGACGCTGCATTTTTCGAAGTTTCTCAAGAACCATTCGAGCCAGAGAATTCGTTTTGCTCAATGGTTCAAGGAACTCGCTTTATAAAGGTCGAGTGACAACTTTAACCGTTTGTGTAAATTTGTCAAAATTTGCTACTTTAAAACGCTTTAAAATGAGCGGTTCTATCTATCTAGCTATCTTCGGTGGTTCCGTCGACTAATAATAATAATAATAAACTTGCTCAATTCAGAAAAGTCGCTTTACATGCAAAAATTTACCCGAAATTCGTCAGTTTAAAGGACTTTTCTTTCACAAGTCGTTTAGATTGCAATTTTTTCTTTAAAATAGTGCCAAAACTCATCTCCGCCGGTTAATTTTTCAAAAATCAATTGTTCATTGCACGAGAGCCGTTTCGCAAAGTTCGAGGCACAGCTTTACCAGTTGGTGCAAATTCTTCTTCATTTAAGAAAAAGCTGATAATCCTCTGCCGGATTTGTAAGGTAATTTCCTGGCAATTGCAGGCGTTTCCCATAAAGCCATCTGGCAAAAACCGTTCAATTCTAATGGGATTCGAGACGTTTTATAACGGATAACGGCCGGGATAATTCCCGGACATCTCGTCTCGAATGGTGTCGATTTCTTAAACGCAGCAGGAATAAACGGGAATTATGACAAATGGCATGCAAAACCGCTAAATCCGATTATCCACACTTTGGTCGGGAACGGAAAACGCGGGATAATTGCCGGTCAAACCGCTAATCCTGCATAGGGTTGCTAACTGGTTTGCGGTCAAAATTTGCAAAAATTGAACACGATCGCAGTTGCACTCGAATGGTGCTTCAGTTTTTTCGGGGAAAAAACGTTGAAAAACGGTCTTGTTTTCCTGCTATTATCAGCCGCTTGAAAACGGGCTCTATTCGGTCGACGCTTCTACCATTAAACGGCCCTCAGGAAGAAGAGAGTCTCAAGTGTGTACGTCTGGACGTGAAAGCACCAGATGTAAATACGCTCCGTTCCCGAGAAAATGGCCGGGAAAAGCGAGAAAAAACTGGCTTACGGAAATCGAATCCAATCTGTACGGCTGTCGGAACGACCGCAAGCTAAATTGGCTATTTCCCAATCCCATCATCCAATGCTTAGCTGGAAAGTGTCTGAAACTGAACAAGAACAGATCCACACAATCCAACGAAAAAGTGAAGAAGTAAAACGATTTTATGAAGATTAAAATTCAAGATTCAGCTGTGGTCGAAGAAACGAACGTGGTAACACACTTTTGAACTTCCTGCAGCTTCCCCCGAAAAAACCGAACGACAATGGACTTCACACTGGAATGGAAATGGAATCGATCGAAACTGGGGAGAAAAGCGGACATCATTTATGCACATTTTGAGGAGTTAATGAATGAAGATTTGAATGACCCACAAACTTTGTATTGAACGAATTGGACAATAAATTGTCGATACGACCAAACGGTTTGTTGAATCAATTGCAGATTAATTTGTTTAAGGAAGCGAGGATCAGTGAAGAAGCATTGAATCTGAAATCCAGTTCCAGCAAGAACCAATAGGAACTGGATTCCATCCAACACAATGGGGCCAATTTTTTAAAATTCCCCAAAATTCGCCCGAATGTTCTTTTTAATTCAAATGCCTCACATATTTAGAGCGAGGCTGTGTCTTGAAAAATGTGCAGAAACCGTAGCAAAAGTAGTTTTTTAGTAATTAACATTTGACGAAAAAGTCGTCACAGCCAAATTACACACGTTGAGCCTCAGATTTGAAAATTTGTCAAAATTTATCCAAATCAGTCATTGAAATAATATTCTGCATAGTTTTAGAATGTTCTTTTCTGCATCTCCTGGTATCAAAGTTAACTTTTTAGCTCAACCGGTTTTTGCGCAATTATTTTTCTAAGCAATGGTTGCTAATTGCTATACCGAACAGTTTGAGGCACCAAATCAAAAAGTTGAAACAATTTTCGGAAATTTTTGATTAAATCGCAATTTTCCACAGATGTTGTGCAACACTTTGGCTTCCAAACCGTGCCTGAATGAATAATCCAGCTTTATTGGTTTCCGTGCAGACAATTTTTAGAAAGTGGATGTTAGCGACTTCCATCCAAAAGTTTGACTTGCCGATTTAAAATCTGAACTGAAATCAGGACAATTTTTGAAAATTCC